CGCTAGGCCCAGAAAAAAAAAGGCATTGTGAATTTTATGAGTGAAGCTCGAGCATCGCCATCAGCCCCACCAAAATCTAACACTTCAATAACCTAAAGCTTGAAATATCTGAACACTCGATGACATAGTCAGCTCTAACTTCACTCGTTACTTTTTGACCAGAAGTGCAAGAGAAGTATGCCCGGAAGAACAAAAGCACGCGCCTCTGGAGCAGAGGATGCTACTATGGAGGACGCTGTTCCCCCATCCGCACAGCAGCCTGTCGACAGCCAAGAAGGCATTGACCCCATGCAGGAAGACGGGGAGGATGCGGATAATGACGGACAGCCCGAGGAAGAAGAGAAAGAAGAGCCGCAAAGAGTCCGCATTGTGAGCTTCATGATGCTTCACCCTGCTTTCTATGTCTACGTTACTAACGAGGGCCCAATATTTAGCTGCCTGGTTCTTCAAGCACAGCAGCTTCGTTCGAGTTTCTCAAGGAGGGTCACACTCTGGGAAATGCTCTGCGGTACATCATCATGAAGAAGTATGTCGCGCCACTGCTCTTCTATTTTACTCTGGGAATTGTCCGCGCCTAACTGGAGCAAACAGTCCCGACGTTGAGTTTTGCGCTTATGCTATCCCTCACCCGTCTGAAGAGAAGATGAATATCAGAATTCAGACCTATGGTAAGATTACATTGATACTTGATCTCCGTGTTTACCTCATAGACTAACGATTTATGTTAAGATACAACAACTGCAACTGCAGCATTAGAGAAGGGTCTTCAGGATCTTACAGATCTGTGTGATGTGGTATCTGAAGAATTTTGGACCCAAAGGGAGCATTTCATGGTAACAAAACAACAATCGCTCGAATGATGGAGATTGCACTGCGGGAGGCCTGATTTAACGAACACAATTTTTCATGGGGTATGGCATCGTGCGGCGTTTGGCGTGGGATAGACCACATCTCATAAGGCAAGAACACCTCTCATCCTGCTATGTACAGTACAGGGGATGATACCCATTTTTAGTTGCGATTCTGGGATGTGTTAGTAAACTGGTGTGTATGTTGTTGTCCACTCATGTCACTTGCCTCTAGGAAACCCTGCATAAAGCTCTTTGGTAGTCTATCCGGTCCTCGGAAGTTTTCAGTGTTGAAATATGACATGACGTGCGTGGTCTGTTTCCAGAAGTTCATAGTTTCCTGCGACATGTACGGTTAGCACATTGCTCTCGACAATCGCTTCACAATTCTTCCCCAACGGCTTTTGGCGCTCGGTAGAAAGCGTCTGGGGCATAAGGGAAACTGAACAGACCTGGTATTCCGCATTATTCTGCATCAGAAGTACGTCGACAACTGGCAATTTGTTTACGAATCGATGTCGCTCGAACTCTTGTCGCATTTGCGTGCGGATGGAAGAGACCGGGAAGGGAACCGAGTACATTGTTTGAATCTCGGGAGCCTGCCAAAAGTCCATCCACATTAGCCAATGCATCACCTATACACATTTACATCGAAATAAAACAGTCCATAGCTAAATAGGTAGTCACAATGGAGAATTAAGGGAACATACAGCTCGAATCCATTCTCTATAGGCCGCAAGCACTCGTCGCTTTGCATCGTTCCAATTGGCCGCTGCAATACCAATTAGTTTACACTCGATTTTTGAAAATAACATACTAACACTGGCGCGTCACGCGTGCGAATTGCGTGGGAGTCACCGCCATCTTGAGTGATCTCTGCTGTGTCAAAGTAGGTTGAAGTTCGTTCAAGCGACGTCAAGCTCGGAATGTCTCGAGTGCTGCGCCGAGAAGTTGAGATGCACCAGCCACATTTTCTTAGTCATTGTGATAAGTGTGGCGCTAGCTTATCTCACAAACCGCCACTAGCCAACGATCCGAGGCTTCACTTCCAATCTTGAATTCTTCAGCCTTGCCATACCGACATCGCAACCAGCGCCAACGAGCACTCCCTTTCCTTCCCAATCTTGCGAACTATCCTAGAGGACATTCAAACATAAATCTATTCTATCGAATTTCACAAGAGCAAACAGCACAAAGAAAACCAAAGAATTCGCCATGCCCGCCATCCGCTCGCATGCCGCGCGGGGCAAGAAGCCGCCGGCGGGTTTCGACGACATCCGAGACGACCTCGAAGTGTTCGGGATCAAAATGAAGGACGCGCAAAACACGCCAACGAACAATATACCCAAGCACCAAGCACAGTGGCCCATCTTCCAGATTGCGCATCAGCGCAGCCGCTACGTCTACGAGCTCTACTACGAGAAAGAGGCCATCAGCAGGCAGCTGTATGACTGGCTGCTAAAGAACGGCTATGCCGACCCCATTCTCATCGCCAAGTGGAAGAAGCAGGGATATGAGAAGGTAAGCCTATATATTTATACTTGGCACAAGAAAGGGTGGAGGAGAGCCGGGGGCATAGGCCTATTTTGTGTGCATTTCACTTCAAGATGAGGTAAAGCTAACTTCTTTGCTTTGTTTCTAGCTGTGCTGCTTAAGATGTATACAGACCAAGGAGACAAACTTCCAGTCGACGTGCGTTTGCCGCGTCCCAAAGGCACAATTGAAGGACGAACAAGATGTACAATGTGTAAATTGCGGTTGCAGGGGCTGTGCATCAAGCGATTAAACGTGCATTTAGATTGCTATCGTTATTTATATCCAGCATTACGGCGTTGGGGAGTCTCATACTGGGCATGATATATGGTATTCAGGTGCGCAAGGGTCGCGTGCATTTAAAATTTGAGCATCAACCAACTGATGCAGTATTTGGGACCATACCAAATGCCAAAATTCTCTGTTCTTGACCAGAGAACTATATTTTTTTCCGTACACCAAATCGCTATTTCCGATGGTCCGCCCCTTGTCACCATCTTTCGTGGACTCGTAATACAGTGCGTCCAAGTCATATTCATTATCGTTCAGGTCATGTTTATCGTTTAGCAAAGCCCACTTTCCCTCTCCCGCGGCCAAATTTTATGGACGTAGGAACAAAATGTAGGGAAGACATCGCACCAGTTAAATCATCCATTTCAGTATCAGGAGCCCCTGTATGAGCAGCTTCTTCTTCTTCGGATGATTCCTGGGAGCTTCTTTGCGCCGCCTCCTTTCGCTCTTCCGCTTGGGACTTTGTAACTTCAGCCTGCCGGAGACTTTGTCTTCGTTGTGATGTTTTGGTGACACTAGCAATAGTTACTGTCGAAGATCTTCTTCGACGATGTCCGTCGTCTAACAATAAAGACTGCCTTCCATCAATGCCGTCCCTAGTAATCGCAAAGAAGTAGTTTTTCGGAAACATATGTTTGTCAATGAGGTGATTGCGTCTCTTGAAAGGAGTTCTGCATTTTCGGTCACACCCTTCAACGAAACAAGAATACTATGCAAACATTAGTATGTCGTACAAGTCATGACTCGGTCTACGACGGACTTGACTTACTGTGTGTTCACCTTTTTCTCTCTTTACGGCCGCGAAGACGTCATGGCAATCTTCGAAATGGATATTGAGCAAATGCTCCGAAGGGAAGTTTTTATGACATTCGACGCATCGGTTAGTGTGCGATTTGTTGTAGTGGGCTTCATAGTCACTGTACGTCGTGAAAGGTAGCACCTCTCGATGTGGCGGGAGTGAGCATCTCATTGCGATGTCTGAGCTGGTGTCAACAGCTAATTCGTCGAGTTCTGTGATCTTGGTCGCTGGATGTGCTATTTCTTCCAGTCGTAGACCATCGGGAAGGCCGATAGGGTCTTTCGGGTACTCTTCTTCAGGCTCGCGTGAGCGCTTCATCTTTGTGCAAGGTGACAGATCTCAGGATGGGGTAAATTACATTGGCAAAAGTAGTTATGTTTGTCTTTCGTCGATTTGCTCACAATCACTGATCTGGTATAGGCTTGGTAGACCCCTTCTTGTCGATATGTGGCCCAAAGGGTTTGACAGCGTGACAGTATTTGCGCGGGCTAACGACCTCGATCCTGCCGTACCTTTTAAGAGATAGTGAACCAATGTTAAGCACACTCGTATAGACCAGAAGAATGACAAGATTACGACTGATATCTCTGTTGAAGTTGCCAGGAATGTTATTATCCAAATCCACAAGAGAAACTCCAATGAGTGCCCAACAAAGAACGGATGTATGAGTCTAGCGGTCAAGAGGGGATATAAACCTCTCTATGTCCGTAAAGGTATGGTACGGGGGGCTTTGGCCATGCTCATGTGTTCTAACTCTTAGGGCTGTACCGTGCGCTGCAGAGTATGGGTAGGAATCTAGAGCAAGTCCAGGGCTGGATGAACGCAGAGAACTGATCTGTTGCAAGGACATGGCAAATCAGATCGAGAGATCGCAAACGTCCAATGCCCCTAAACCAATCCCGGGGGCGGGGTAGGGGTGTTGGCGGCGGAGGCGGCAGAGTAGTTAGAGGCTTATAGTTATGTACGTACGTTTATTGTGCTCGAGCGACTTCCTAGGAAGTCACTTAAACGGACCGTCCTGTAATATACACGAAGATCCGTTTTGTACTAAACGGTATTTGCTTTTGTGGAACTATAGTAAAATCTACATAATGTACTTAGGTTGTCTTGAAGCCTATCAGGTGGATCATGCGCATTCATGGACCTACTACTCACCTTTGCCCACGAAAGCCTTCGCAGGCATCTGTAGATTAGCTAGTCTTTCTTTCCTTCCCTTCTTCAAGCAGAGTATTTACATAGAAATATATAATTCTGATCACTGCATCGGACTTCTGTTCTTGTTTGTTACATTACACAAGTGCTACCGCTAAACCCTCTTACAAGCGCTCTTACCACGACACTCTTTCTACCCACGCTCTTTCCAACACTCTTCCACCCACGCTTCTTCCGCACTTTCCTACTACAACTGCCCCATCACGCCCAGGCTATAGCGGGTGGCTGAAGGCCGGAAAAGCCATTAGGTTGTCACTATCTGCTGCCTAGCTTACACTTTATAAGATTATCTAACTGAATAGCTTTCAACAGAAAAACCCAGAGTGATGTAATGGTAACATCCCTAGTTGACACATGGTAGAAACCATGCCCTTCGGGGGCCAGGGAGATCCGGGTTCAATTCCCAGTTCTAGGATGAATATATATATATTTCGAGTTCTATTTAATTACGGTTGCAATCTCTCTTTTTACCTACCTATTATATCTACCTAATCTATCCCTCTATCTCGTTATAGCAGCCAGCAACTAGTCAGTTAGTATTTATTTACTCGCTAAAAAACAGCTCGTATATTTTTTCTTTTGGCATAGTAGCTACTCACCCCCACACAGGCCGAAAGCATCCCATCCATCAATCGCCCAAGCAGTAACACAGCGGTGCTCATCCTCACCTTCCTCCAGTCTGTTCGCGGTCGAGCCAACGCGCTGGGTCGAGCGCTTCGAGTGGCGCGCGATGAATGCGCGGGAACGGGGCGCGCTTGCGGTGTTTTGGAGGTGGGTTGGTAGGGAGTTGGGGATCCCGGTTGAGAGGCTATTGCTATATTCTTCGTCTTCAGCTAAGGCCATCATCATGCAGTAAAAAATATCATGGCAAGATCCTTGGGCTAGCTAGCTAGGCTTGGAAGCACAGCATTATACCTAAATAATTGCTCACGTTAAAGCTCGTCTTTGGTATATATACTCTGCTGCGCCTCTGCTTGCTTGCAATCGAGTCCGCAAAACATCCACTTGGATAAACCATATACCCTTCAAAACCACGGTTGTGAGAATAACGCACTAAAAATAGGACCGCTAACTAGGCCCTCTAGGTTTACTAGGTTACGCGATATGATTGTATTACGATTCTCGCTTAGTGGACTGACTAAACGTACTTCTAGTCGTAATAGTTAAAATCTTCACCGGGTTTGGATCGCGAAGCTATAAACTTTAGTCCTTTAAATGCGTACTCGGGTATAACTACAGTATTACTACAATATACCCCGTAACTTACGGTACTTAAGGTACCTAATACCTAAGTATAGGCTCCCTATCTGAGAAATTATGCAATACTTTATGCTTTTCAGTATGGGTTATGCTCAGGCCAGGCTCAGGTTAAAAGCAGCATGGCTCAGGTTGCATCCCTATTCCGATTTGGGATGGTAAAACCTACTGTATCTTGGAGGTTCCAGCGGGGAGTAGAGCCTAAGCCTCGACGCCTAAAACCACCTGTCATGCCTGTTTTTGCCTTTCTGGCGATAGTTCGTGGGCAGGTTCGTGGTAATGAATCTTGCTAACCTTATTCAACTGCGAAATGACCAATCGTCCATCATGGTCCTTTTTATGCAGTCCCCTTCCTCCAACCCCCATCAACCTTGTCCGTCCACTATCACTAACTTTCCATTCCCGCCGCAGACGACCGACAACGTCCGCGACACGCTGTCTGCACTCGCATTCTTCGCTGTCGTCCACCTTCGATTCTTTTCTCGGTATCCATTGTCATCTCCTACTGTTTGTAGCCTTTCCACACCAATGTCCCCGATATTCGCCTCCGACATAGCTATCTCAGCCCACGCTTCGACCAAGGCGCGCCCCAATCCTCAGTCACCTCACCAGCCAAGCTATGGATCTCTTATGCACCTCTGCTATCAATTCGAGTTTGTGTGATCCGATACCTTGGCTGTGACGCCCTCGCCGCGTCTTCCTGGCCAACTTTTAACATTTGCGCACCCCAGCCAGGGTGCCTCCCTCTCCATTACTTCACTAGGCGCCGAACCTGATTATTCGCACTGCCAGTTGCTTGCGACTCCGTCTGCCATGGCGAACCCACGAGATATAGCGAGGGCAAATTGGGGGTATGTTTTAAAGTGTTTAAATAGCCCCGAGACCGCTATGAGGGCGAGGCAGCCTGATCGCTATGTGTCCTGCTAACGGCTGATTAGGAATGCGCAAAAGATTCGCTCTGACATCCTAGGCAAGCTCTCGAGCCTTAAGAAAGAGCGTGGTGCTGTCAATTATACTACTCGGTTCGAAGAAGCCGAGCAAACCATGGCTGAGTATGCATTAGTCTTTGGCGACTGCCGTTTTGATGCTCATTTAGTCCTAGATTCCGCTTGGCCTGCATGCAGGTGATCTTTCATGACTTTGAATATGCCGTCGCAAAGAAGGTTGAGCATTCCCTTTGGCAATGCCATACCTTCCTGAATGGCGAATACCGAAAAGCCTTGAGCCGTCTTATGACACAGAACCAGGTTGTACAGAGGCGTAAGCTGGACAAGCTCTACCGAGGATTTCTAAAAACCTCTGAATCGTTTTACGTTGTCTATATACAGCAACTGTCTAATCGCTTCTCCATCCCCGAGCTTCGGCAAGTTGCTCTCGGAGCGGAGGCGCAGCCTAAAGAAAACACGGCTGAGGATATCTCACCTCCCGCGGCTATGCGCGCACTAATTCTAAAGTCTTGTCAGACGACTTTAGTTCGTCTGGGTGACCTAGCACGCTATCGATGCCAAATGTCGGATAAGGTCTCCAAAGCCGCATTCGAAAAGGCGTCAGATTATTACGGTTTGGCAAACACGCTTGATCCTGAGGATGGCTCGGCTCATCATCAATCAGCTGTGTTACACCAAATTCTAGACCAACACTTTGATATCGTATACCATTTTCACCGCGCGATCTCCATCTCCAAGCCGCACGAGTTAGCCTTAAGCAACCTTGAACGGGAATTCAAAAGCCCCGAAACATCCTCACAAGCAAGGAATGGACCAGTGAAAGACCCTTCAGAAGCTATGGTGACCTGGTTCGTCCGGCTTCATGCGTTCTTCTTTCACGGAAAGCAGTTCTCCCAGCATTCTGAGCTAGAGGAAGAAGTGTTACATCGTGTCGAGATTGCGCTAAAAAATGAAGGGACTGATACGATGCTGCTCAAAATGATTATCATCAACATGGCAGCGTATGATATCTCAACAGAGAAAGTTAAATGTAAGTCCGGTAAAAATCACGATGGCCTCTCTTCGTCACATGCTAATCTTTATCACCAGCTTCATGGACTATGGAAAGATCACAATCATGTCAATTCCTATTGAGATTCAACATTCGCATGATCTTGATTCTACTACGTACACTTGATAATACTTTGCGCGACGAAACTGCCCGCGGCATTGACTCGGGTGGTGAATCTGTGGATGGCGAGAGCTACATTAGCTTTGCGCCGAGTCTACTGAAGTTACTACCACTATTTCGCCTCTATCTTGCTTGGGTATATGTTACTAGAGCCGACCTCGTGCAGTACCAAGAGTATCTTGAACCGCATGTCAAGGAATTCTACAGACTGCTTGCAGATGTACTTACGTTCCTTAATCTCTACATTGATCCAACTACGGAAATAGTTTCATCAAAATACCTTCTACCTGAAGATTCTGAAGCTCAAGGCCTTCGAGTTCTAAGCGATCGGAAACTACCGCTGTTCGTATATGTGGAAGAGCAAGGAAACCCGAGCCAACCGAAGCGGATCAAAACACGGAAGCCTCAACAGAATGTTTTTGGTCGCCGATTCAAACAAGAAACAGAAACTGTTTGGCGTATTCGAGACATCATTTGCTGTGGAGTCTTCCTAGCTGGAAGCGCAAAGTTCCCGTTGGCCCTGATGATTCAGAGTCACCACGGCCGTGATACTGAAACCTGGGTATATGAGGACGGAGCGGTCACACCGGCATCTTCTAATGAAGCTGAATTGTCTCGTCTCTTGAGTAAACTACATGCTGGAGATTTCAGAAGCAGCTCAGAGAATAGCGCAATGAAAGAAATAAACAGCGCGCGAACAGACAACCCCGCCAATGGTCACATTCAGGTCCAGGAGAATCGTCAGAGAGCGAGCGTATCCAACAAGTCAGACAATATGTCTGCCAAAGGCAAAGCTCTGAAGACGCCATCTATGGCCTACCACGACTCAGACCTAAGTGAAGACAGTGAAATGATTAATATGGTTAACAAGCTTCTAGATCCTGTGGATGAAGATCGCCCCCAGTCGAGTCAGGCCCAGGCGGAACCTAGCTATGGAATGGATTCATCTATGGCAAATGAGGTATTTGGTAATATTCAAGCCAGCCCGGTTCAGCCATCTCCCGTGTCGAAATCTATCCCAAGTCTTCCATGGGACTACTTTTACAAACCAACCCCGCATCGGTCGAGCAGCCAGGAGCAGAATCAGTTGTGCCTTAGCGATCATAATGTACCGAGGAGCGCTGCAACTCAGCTTGACGGGTTCAGCTCATCATCTTACTTGAATGACCTCGGCGCGCCTTTTAACCAAGTTCGTCCCAGCGCTATGCCTTCCAGACCGAGCACCGGTTATATACAAAGTGCTAGAGCCTCAGGCGTACCTAGCCCAAGTATCCCTCGGAAGAGCCATGAACTCGATACGTTGGAAGACTCTCGTAATGCCGTCCTTGATAGCTTAACGTCAGCTCTACTTGCTCAGCATGGCCTTACACGCAACAATTCACCACCAGAGAATAACCTACTAAATCGCACAAACCTGAGCCCCATATGGGGACAGCGATCCGCCAGCGGAACGTCCGAATTCTCGTTTCCCCAGGCCACAGCTTCACCTCGGGCATCAGCTTCAAAATATGACGAGATGCCTAGCTACCTAGAACACTCAGCCACCCAGCAAGCTAGTGCTGCAAGCTTGCAGAATCCCCTTGGGCCACCAGGCCAAGGCAGACCTGGAGCGAGGCAGGCGGCTCCTGGTGAGCGTGTCAGTCACTTGCCAACTACCATGTACCCCGTTAGAAACAACTTAGACACCCAGCACATTTGGGCGCAGGGGTCATCGGGTAACCAACAGCAGCACTCGCCTTGGCATTACGAGCCTTCCACTGGCACTTCATCTTTGGCATTTTCCCATCCTAGCAGCCTCCTTGTTGGTACCCCGGCCGCCGTCTCTGTTGAGCCTGCTAACTCTGTCGCTTGCAACGGTCATTACTACAATGCGACCACTCCCTTTGGTCGGTTAGGTGGGGGAATTAACAACAGGGAAGACCCTACACATTTCCGCAATCAGCTTAGAGCTGTAGTAGGCCCTGTTGATCTCTCTTATGACCAACAAGTCTTACAAGCGGCGATGATGGATAATAACCATAAGCCGCGTCCTAAGTGATT